GAACACACGTCCTCCTGACAGGTACAGCAGCTGCTGCAATTTACCCACATTTATACATCGGCGAAGGTAGCCCAGAAAAGTCCAAAGTCAAACTTCCTGAGAAATTTCAGATCTTCTAGGATTTATTTTAGTGTGCATACATATCTGTGTATGTGTTCTGCAGTATATTATACTTTCCATAATTCTGGTTTTGGTAGTTGTGGGGAAGAGGTAGGATGCTCTGATTTTAAGTTATGTTTATCAAATTATTTTGGTCTTTTAAAAACATGTTTACCTTTCAATATATTCATGTTATATCAGAGCTTTTAAAATGTGTTTTTTTCCCCCCTAAAATTTTTATGCTCTAGAGATTTGTGTTTAATAGGTTCTAATATTTGGTTTGTATTACTGTATTTTTGAAATAACAAGTTGAAACCAGGTCAAATAAAGTACAAGCTTAAAGTCCCTTTGTTTCTTCCTCTGACCTTTTCCTGCTCCCTCTGTGTCTAAGTTTCTCTGTACTGGCTGGCGGTGAGTGGACTAACTTGTCCTTTGAGATGTCTCAGCCAGTCAGGTTTTTGAGGTTTGTGGTCACTCTCTTTGTGGTCACTGCACTGACTGGTCACCACGCCAAAAGAGGTTCTCCACTTGGGAGCCTGGCTCTTCTCAAGTACTTCTCTTACTGCTTAGGAGTCAGTTTTTTGGGGTGTTTTTTATTGCTGCCAGAGATAATTTCCTCTGATTTCTTTCTACAGTTCACTTCTATACTAGTATTTACGCTTGAAAATCTGATCACCTGAAAACTGAGATATGATCATGTTTATACTTCCAAAGTCATCACAGCTTGTCTGAAAATATTATAAATTTGGACATTGAACAAATTAAAATGACATCTTCCCTTTTCTTTTTCACCTCTTTGTAGTTACTGCTTCATCCACCTGTGAGAAATTAGAGAAAGCCAGGAACGAGTTACAAATAGCTTACGAAGGATTTGTCCAGCAGCACCGGGCCGATAAAATAGAACGAGAGAATCAGCTTAAAGAATTTTACACCAGGGAATTTGAAAAGCTCCAGAGCACTTACATCGAAGAAGCGGAGAAGTATAAAACTCAGTTGCAAGAGCAGGTCTGTGGTTTTGGAACCAGAACACGCCCCTGGTTACGGCTGTTCACTTGAATTCTGATTGTCGTTCACTTCCTTGGATGAGTTTGTCTTTGTTTTTTGGTTTAATAGGAGAAAAAAAATTTTTAACAATTTTTTTTTTATGATCAAAGCAATATACATTAGTTGAGTGAAGGATGGGAAGAAAAAAAGAAGGAAAAGATAAAATTAAAAACAACCCTTTATCCCACAATCCAGAAGTAACCCTTACATAAGCATCCTGGTGTTTCACTGATAGACATTAGTTTGCTTTTCTTCTTTTTTTTTAAATGGCACTTGTTTTAAACCCTTCCCCCCCCCCACTTAGTAGTATATTGTAAACCTCTTTTAATTTCCCTGCTACCTTATTAACTCAGTTTTTCATTTAGCAAATATTTACAGAGTGCCTACTCTGTTCCAGGCATGTGCTAGGGGCTGAACACATAGTGGTCAAATGACAGGTGTGGAGCTTATGTGGCCCTGATACTGTGAAACATCCTCACTTTTGTGATGGACTCAGCCGTTCCCATCAGTGAACCCCAGAGAGCTTGTGTGTCTGTGTTCCTGAGGGGACAGCGTGGAGAGTTGGGAGAAGCAAAGCCAGGGTGGGTTGTTCTTTCCGTGTTCTTGGTGTGTGTCAGGGAGCCCTTAAACATAAATGCAAGCTGATGTGTAGTCTCCTAATGTTACTGCTTGTTTATTCAACTGACGACTTTGGGTTTTACTGGTAAACTATTGTTTCTGTTTGTTTCTTACAGTTTGACAACTTACATGCTGCCCATGAAACCACTAAGTTGGAAATTGAAGCTAGCCACTCGGAAAAAATAGAATTGCTGCAGAAGGCCTATGAAGCCTCCCTTACAGGCAAGGCTGCTTTTCTCTATTTACACAGAATAAGATCTGATGGGACTGCGGGATCGTTTTCAAGCGGAAATGACTCAGAACTTTCCCTTCCAGAGAACGCCCTGTGGTATTCAGTGTGGAGTGGTCTTGGTTGCTTTTTGCATTGTTCATTGTTAACAGATGCCTTTTCACCCTAACGATGCAAATGAACTTTCCCTTCCAGAGAACGCCCTGTGGTATTCAGTGTGGAGTGTTCTTGGTTGCTTTTTGCATTGTTCATTGTTAACAGATGCCTTTTCACCCTAACGATGCAAATAATAGTTTGCTATAAATGCCAGCCTTTTAGGAAATAGGATGAACTTTTAAAGATTTGAAAGGCCTTTTTGGTGGAGGAGGTGCTGGTGGTGGGAGTTGCCGGCTGAGGTCCCTGGGAAGTGTCAGTTTATGTCCTGGCCACAGCAAAGGATCCCCACTAAGCACTCTTGCACACCAACACTGCTGGGAGATGTAGGTGGCACTTGAATGAGGAATCTTTTATGATTTCAGCAATCATATTGGAAGGGTTGAAGTAGAAGGAAAAGAATCAGAGGCCCTTTCTTTCAGAACATAATGGGCAGTGTAGCCGAAGTCTTTATACTAAACCAGTTGCATCTTAACAGAATCGTGTGTGGGCGAGTGGTGAGAACTGGCTGTGTGACCTTTACAGGGACTTTTCTCATCAGAAAAATAGAGCTGTGTGAAGTCGGAGATGACGATATATAAAAGTGGCTGGCTCGTGTTGGACATTTAGTAAACACCGTTTTTCCACCTTCCTGCTACAGATGAGAGTTTCACTATAGACTTCTGTCTGGCTCATGAAGAGCAAATCGAAAAGAGCGCAGAGGCTCCAGGCAGGGGGCGGAGGCCAGTGTCTCGAGACCCCACCCTGAGATGGACCCTGTGTGTTTCCCGAGGTCTCCTGGCCTCTTTGGGCCTCGAGGCTCTCAGTCATAAAATGGGAATATCTGCCCCACCCACTTCTTAAGGCTATTGTGGGAGCAGATGGCTTAATTTATACAAAAGCATCACATAAGTGTAAAGTAACACAGTCACATTGCTTCATGATTAACTCCTACATCTAGGGGCTTTAACAATTATACAGTATAGTCATCTCATAGAATGTGATTGCCTCAAAAAATACCCCTTCTTTTCAGAAATCAGGAAAAGCCATGAAATTGAAAAGAAAGCACTTGAAGACTTGCTTAATAAGAAGCAGGAATCCTTAGAGGTAGGTGAATATCAGTGCCCCTTCCTTTCCCCAAAGTCATCAGTCTTGATGTTGTGTGGTTTGGGTATGTTTCGTGGTTGTACGTAGGCTACATTGCTGGTGTCTGTTGGGTAACTTACATTCCACCTTTCATTGTGTTTAGAAACAAATCAATGATCTGAAGAGTGAAAATGATGATTTAAATGAACAGCTGAAATCAGAAGAACAAAAAAGAATATCAAGAGAGAAAGCAAACTTAGTAAGTTGTGTGTGCTCCTCTGTCAGTACTGAATTCTTCTGCTCAGTTGCCCTTTAGAGCCAGTTAAGTGTTCAGCAGCCAGAGAAATAATGCAGGTTTGGAGTCCCTTTCATGTCTTGCTGTGTGCTTTGAAAACTGTGTAAAACAGATTCTTTGTTTACTGGCATCTTTTTTTACATCCTGAAAACTGACTTACGAATGAATTCTAATATATTTCTGGAAACAAGAAAACTGTCGATTAAGATCAGGGTTTTAGGGCCGGCCCGGTGGCGTACTGGATAGTGCGCCGCTTGGGAAGCGCGGCAGCGCTCCCGCCCAAGGGTTCAGATCCCACATACAGACCGGTTCCCGCTCACTGGCTGAGCGAGGCGCGGGAAACCGAGGGTTGCGATCCCGTTGCCGGTCCCCGGTCCGGTACGGGGGCAACACTGAGGGTTGCGATCCGTTGCCGGACACGGAAAAAGACAAAAAAAAAAAAAGATCAGGGTTTTATATGAAGACCTTACCTTTTTTTTTTTTAAATAACCACTGTATTGAGATATAATTTACATACCATAAAGTTCACCCTCTTAAAACGTACAATTCAGTGCATTTTAGTATACAGTATTCATAGTTATGCGTTGGTCACCTGTAATTCCAGAACATTTTTATTACCCCCGAAAGAACCCTGTACCCATCAGCAGCCACTCCCCGTTTCCTCCCAAACTCCCAGTACTGGGCAACACCAATCTGTTTTCTGTCTCTATGGACGTGCTTATCCTGAACGTTTCACATACATGGGATCATACAATATGTGGCCTTTTGTGACTGCCTTCTTTCACTTAGCATGTTTCCAAGGCTCATCCATGTTATAATGTGTCAGTAAATGGATGAATAATATTTCATTGTATGGATAAACATCACTTTTGAAACATACAAATTTCTCTTGTAAACTCAACTTTCTCCTGCAACGTGTATCTTTTTCTTGTTGCTCCTGTCTTATGTACCACTGTTTTCATTCCATATTCCATATATTTGTGCTCTGGCACTGCCGAAGCAAAGCTTTTTCGCTGAAAATCTGTTGCCAGTTTGCCAAGTACATGTGTGGCTCTCACAGTGAGACCTTTTGCCGATGATCTCCTTGGGAGACCCTCTAGACGTTTGATAAAATTAGATGGGATCATATTCAAGGAAACATCAAAGCTATTTATACTGGAAGATATTTAGGAAAAGTCGATGATTTCAAAAGAAATCTAGACATATAGGCAGGGTGTAAACCTTACTAATGGTTCAGAGAACAGGTTTTAAAGAGCTGCCTGGTTTGCAAAGGAGGTTCCACTGCAACCGCTTTGGAAAAGCGGAGGAAAGTGAGGGAAGCAGTGATCTCCAGTGCCACCCCCGTCTCAGCGTGCCGAGATTGTGGAAAAGGGGAGCACGCGTGAGTGGAGTCGGGGAGAAAGCGGCAGGCCAGCGGAGAAGCAGGAAAAGGTGCAGAGCGTACGAGGCTCTACGTGCTCTAGTGTAAAAATTGACAGACTAACTAACGCTCTTTCCTTCTAACAAAAATGAGATAGGATTTGCTATTTTCAGGGTAAAAAATCATATGTGAAATAATATCAGTATATAAAACTTATGAAATTTTTGAAAGAGCCTGGAGTCAGAGGTCTGAGTGTCAGTTCCTGCTGTGACCTTTCCTGGCTCTGGTACTTTTCCTGAGCAGGTCACTTGACTAATGGAACTCATTTTCTCCTTTTGCGAAGTAAGGGGTTTGGATTCAGTAATCCCCAAACAACCATACCCTGATTCTTCCCATGGATTGATCCAGAATGGAAACCACTGCCCTGGAGGATAGTTTTCATGATCTACACCACTGAATCTTATCTAAGAAATTCTTTCGTCAAACATCTGTTCAGTAGATCTTATGCTGTTAGTTTGTATCAGAAATCTTAGATGTGAGCTCAGTTGAATTTCATCAGTAAAGCCAGGAGTGGGGCGGGGGCGGGGGGATGAACGCTGCAGCTGTGTTCTCAGAAGATGTGGTGTTTGTTTTGGGGAAGAATTTTAGGAGAGTATGTGCTATATGCCATGTAGATGATGGCATGTCACAATGTAAAATGACAGTGTCATGGGTGCTCTAGAAGTACGGCCAAGCCAACAGAGTCTCATCATACAGAAAATCCAAAGCACATTACTGTTATTTCTGTTGTGTTCCAGAGAGCTCTGAAAATGTACTGCTTTCTGTTCCTGATCACTTACTGACTTTCGTTAGAGAGAATTGATGTTCCTTTTTCTCCCTCCAAAAACCAGTAAAGGACTTAGATTGCCCAATCTCCAGCCATAATTCTGTTCCATATTGTAAGCACAGGTTTTGTCTTGTTCTTAATTGCGTATATGATGCAACCAGTATTTTTCTATATTATGTTAACTGATAAATGAGGAAAATATTTGTTCTCAATATTATGACTGAAGTCTTTGAGATTAATGTGATCTTAACTCTTCTTTTTCACCTCTTTGTTTGAAACTGTTAGAAGAAGATAGAAGTCATTTGCCACTTGATTGTCTAATGTCTAAACCTAAAGAAAAATCCTTTATTTACGAATTTGGACTATGTGATTGTGTGAAGTAAGTCAGAGTGATAGTGTGCTGTGTCCTTTCCAGAAAAACCCTCAGATCATGTACCTGGAGCAAGAATTAGAAAGCCTGAAAGCTGTGTTAGAGATCAAGAATGAGAAACTGCACCAACAGGATGTCAAGTTAATGAAAATGGAGAAACTGGTATGTCTCTTTCGGAACAGCAGATTGAGGATCTCACCAAGTGGGCTGATACCTGTGAGACAGGAACTGAACTCTGACCCGAGAACTAGGGAGTGGGGGAACTGCTGCTTAAGGATATTTGGAAATTATACAAGAGAGAAAGGTTACAATTTTCTTTTCCAGGTTTCATCAAGGCTTATTCATTGCTGCCTTCTAGGATGTTTTTCCCAAGGAACATGTAAAGCAGCATTCAGTTCGAAATAATGTAAAAGTAGTACTTTAATATACCACCAACTCTAGATAGGTTCCATATATTTAAAGCAGTTGGATATGTAAATTAATCCTATTGGAGCAATACAGTCTATCTAAATTCTTCATCTTGCTTCTTGTGAATTAAAATGTTAAAAGAATTACTGTGCTTTAAAAAGGTTAATTCTGTTGGACAAATAGCAAGTATTAGGAAGAATATGAATAAAATTTAGTTGGCAGGAAATTCTTCATCTTGCTTCTTGTGAATTAAAATGTTAAAAGAATTACTGTGCTTTAAAAGGGTTAATTCTGTTGGACAAATAGCAAGTATTAGGAAGAATATGAATAAAATTTAGTTGGCAGCCTCTGGGGCAGAGAAGTAATGTTATTGTGGACGGGTCTGTCCAGAACCATGTGTTTCAGGGCGTGCCCAGTGTTCCTGGCAGTCTTGGCCCCGCCATGAGACACAGCTACTAGCATCAGTCTTGGCCCCACCCTGAGACACAGCTACCAGCCAGGACTCTGACCAAGTTGGCAGCATTTGGCAAGCAGCTTATGTGATCCCAGCCATCGCTGTACTCTGCTCCTGACTGTGCGGGCCGCCTGTACTGCTTGCCTCTTCTCCCCCTGGCTGGGAGCAAGTGCCTCCTTCAAACCCAGACCAACAGGGAGCATGGAGGCCATGCTTTCTCTATTCGGTGTTTTGTTGGTTTGGGGGTTTGGTTTGTCTTGGGTTTCTTCTAGAGACTATCACCTCTCTGTTGAGGGACGTAATGGCTAAGCCCCCATGTGGATATGTGGGCACTTTGTATTATCAGGAAGTTTTGCTTTTTTAAAGGAAGGAAAGGAACATGTAGTAGTTAATGGGCCCAACCTAGTATACATACCGGTTCCTGTTATGCCAAGTCTGAGAACTCTGCTAATCCAGCAGCCAGTAATGAATCAGATAATCTTGCTAATAATTTGTTGCTGCATATGCCATTCATGCATCAAACTTTTCCCAAAAATCATGTGCAGTGAAACAGAGTCTGCTGTAAAATTACCAATATATTTTAGTTTTTGTTGATCCGTGGTATTTCTGGTTTTTGCCTTGTCCAAGAGGTATTGTATGATGTCAGCCAGCGTTGCAGTGCGCATGTGTGGCAGACAGGTAGGCCCGCTGTTGCCTCTCTTATGTGTAAGTTCCAGGCCTTTGCAAAAATTAAGACACTTAGAAAGCACAGGGATGTTTTCTTAAGTAAGAAAGCTCTGGTGTGAAAACTAGCTCCACCCATAATTAGCTCTGACATTCTCGGGACTGCTTTTTTATTCTGTAAAATGAAGGATTGGATGAGATAATGTTTTAAGGCTCAGTCTCTAATTTCAGGTTTTTCCATCTAGTGTTTTGTCTTGAGTTCCTTCATAATTAACATTTCAAGGTCCCCTTCCCCTTATATTCTAGATTCATTTTCTGGAAAGTCATTTCACCTGAATTGCTTGTCCAGAGCATTTTCTGGGTAATAGGATATCTTAAGAACGATAGGGCTCTAAACTAAGCACCATAATCAAAGTAGATCAGTCACCCACTGCAGTGACAGGGACGTAGAATTAATTCTGACTGTGTAAGTCACTCTCAAGCAAGAAATAAAATCTTACCTTTGGAAATTGAGCTGGGATGTAATCTGCTCTTCATCATGTTAAGTGACTAAATGTCTTCAGGGATCTTATCAGTAACCACCGCCAGAGTCGGCCACTTATGAGACTGCAACTCTGGAGGAGGACTTTTGGCTCGGTCCAAAAAAGATTTCGGAATTGACATGGACGTTGTTGCACAAAGCACTTAAAGAACTAGAGGATCTTGTTCATTGCCTTTTTCACCTAAGCATAAGGGGAAAAACTCTCAGGGGCCTATTAAGATAAAGATTTATAACCTTTATAATGTTCGTTACCACAGATACCTTCTTGTGATTGTTATTTTGGTCTGACTGTGGGTGGGGGCGTGTGGATGGGACGGATGTAACAGTGTCATGTGTCTGTAGCCTTCTCTGCTGTGTATGAGAAGTCAAAAGCTGAATGTGTCTGCCTATGTACTAACCGAACAGTCGTCAGTGTACACATTTCAACAAAAGCCATAGAAGAAAAAGCAATAGTTGCTTGAATTATGATGATCCACTCAGTCCTTCGACATGGTGGGGACAGGGAATGACAGGAGAAGCTTTGACTTGTCAATGTCCGCACGTTCTCTGTGTCTTTTTGGAGTATCTTGGTGGCAGTTTTTCAGTGTTTGGCCATGTCAGATGAAACTAGCTGGGTTTTTCTGTGGATTCTGATTTCCCCATGTCAGCCTGACACCACACTATGATCCATTTTCTCAGGCTATGAGCAAACGCAGAACCCTAATTTTTCTTTAAAAAAAAAAAAATGTATAAAGAAAAAGGGCAGCTCCAATGAATGAATTGTTCTGCCTTATTTTTACCTTGACCTAAGCTGTCCTTACAGATTTAAACTGTTGTCTTCTCTCCCATTATCCTCATTTCTCCCTTTCCTTTCTCTACCACCCAGAGCCACAAAAGCAAACCTTCTACCTCCTACCTGCTTTTCTCTGGGACTAGGATAAGGGAATATGCTTTTCCACAGCCAGCTCATCTTCAAGGTGCTGAAGCCACTTTCCAAATAAACTAAGGCCTGGATCTGATACTACAAATTTTGGAAAACCTTCGAGAGAGAAAGAAGGAGAAAGAGAAAGTCACTGACCAGTAGAACTAAGAAAGACAGGATTCAGAGCTTACCGATGGGTAGAAGCACCTTGGCTAATACGGCAAGTACACAGTATTTAATACAGCACAGCCGTCTGGGAAGAGAATGCTCGTTTTTCAGGTACTCTTTGAGGAATCCTTCTGTTTTTGGAAAGGCAGCAGAATGGCCAGCTGACGAATGGAGAATGTGGCTTGGACAACTCTCCTCCAAGTTGCAAAGTTGCATTTCAGTTTCTTTTCAAAACTTCACTTATTACTTCCACTAATTCTAAGACTTTGGGGAAGGTGGAAGGAAGAACTGTGGCGTTTTCTCCCTCTCCCTGCACGTGTCAGCATTGCAATGTGAGTATTTACTAATCTGAGTTCAGTGGCTGTACAAATAACCCCTATAGTAAGAACAGATTCAGGATACTAGAGGTGGATATTTGAGTCGTCATTTACATGTACACTACATAGCAAATTGATATTCACGATGCATGTTTTTTTAAATTAGTGATTGTGTCTGAAGTCTTTAACTTCCAATAGTTTATTATGTATGTAACCTTCCATGTTCGCTTCTGATAAATGGAAACGTAGCTCACTGCCACCTCCTGGAATATCTTTGCTCATGCTTCCAGGTTCTCAATGACATTAGTCACAGTCAGGTTTGCCATTCATCCTGTATGCATGGTGAATCTTACGCTGTTCTTTGCTGTCCTCCATACCATTTAGGAGTCTGGGAAATAAATCTTACAGCAATTAACATAAAATGTCTTCAGAGGATGGGAGACAACATGAGAGAAGATAGGAAATAAAATAGAGAACTTTAATTTTTCAAACCAAATGTTTTATGTAGGATGCAAAATGTTGGCACGTCATAAAAATATGGATGTGTAAACAACTGTAGTTGTGCTCAGTTTTTAGTAATGGAAAGTGTATTTTACTTTGATCAAATAAATAATGCTGGAATCTTCAATATAAGCATTGCAGTCTCTGACATACTTCACTCTTCAAAGCGTTACCCGTTTACAGTCCTTCTCAGAAGCACAGCAAAGATTGTGTCTCCTCTTAGGCTATTTCCCTGGAATTTCTAATGCAACCGCAAAATTGGTCATGGGCTGAAATTTGGCTCACAGAACTAGAGTTAGCGCAAAGCTTTTCTAAATTCAAAGCTATGTGTATTTGAGAAATTTTGGCTGGTTTTATCAATTCCTGCTGTGTAACAAGAAAATTGCAACAGCTATGGTGTAAATATTTTTGAAGAAGATAAAAATGTCTAAAGTTGAATCTTAATGCATCTGTTTTATATTGAAGGTTAAACTTTTAAAAACATATATTCTAGTCCTTATTGAATAGACTAATCTAGAATTAGTGCTTTTGAGTACATCAGTTAAAGAAAAAACATGATTTTTTTTCAGTACCTTCATAAATTAACTCACCTTAGCTTTAAAGTTGCTACTGAGGAAAAGTAACACGTCTAAGCATTTGAATTGAGTTGCTGCTTATGAATAAGAAGTTGAACTATATATTAGCACATTTTAAAATTCTAATATATTGTGATTGTTATATCGAAAAGAATACTAGGTATCGACCTGAGTATCACTGCCAACCAGTCCTCCTGGATGTGTTTCAAGCCAACTAAAAAAAACGAGCACTTAGCCCATTTTTTATTTTTTACAAAAAACTTGCTCATTTAATAGAAATGATTATATAAAGTTGTTTACATAAATTTCGCCTTAGTATGAAAACTAGAAACACGTGTGTAGGTAAACAATCGAAAATACATGCTTTCTGTTAGAGAAGTTAACAATTCTATTAATAGACCTGATGACTTCCTTCTAGTTTGGATGTCTGGGTCTGAATCACAAGGCAGGAGTTGGGTTTGGCACTTGACATCAGCGTCTGGCTATATAAAAAGAGCTAATAAAAAGAACACCAAAGCTGATTGTGCATACAAATGGGCTTTCCATAAGTTCATTTTCCAAATCAGGAAAACTCAACAGTGGTCGCTACTGTGGTCTGCCCTTGAGGATTCTGAGCTGTGCAGATGTAATATCCTGCGTCAATGGTCTCAAAGTCTTCGACTGTAATGACGCTCTGGGAGAGCCGAGTGGTGTGTCCGAGTCCTCTGTGGATCAGCCTCCAAGTGTCTTGAATTGTCACGGGCCTTTCCTCCTGTTTAACGACACCCACACAGACTGAAGCACCAATGACAAGCTGCTGTATACAGCTCCCATTCACCCAACACGGTTGAGTGTTCCTTTCAAGGTGCAAGACACGCGCTTATAGAAGACTATTCAGTATGCGTAGTTCATAGGTTGTGGGAGCTTTTACACCATATAATCATTTTAGGCTGCATTTTTTTCAAGTAGACTCTTGAATTTCATAATGTTATTTGGGGCTCTCTTTCTGCCCTTTTCTCCAGTAAGTTTGTACTTAAAATTTATTCTTTTGGAACTCCAAGCAAGCAGAACTGGGACTAGGCATGAAAACACGGGAGAAACTTTCCACTGCCCCCCTTCCCATTGCCTACTTTCACCCCTAGCCAAATGGTTCTTATTCACTGAATTTAAAGTCAGAGCCCAAAGCATTCACTGTGTGAATGAATAAGAACTCCCGATTGTTCAGGCTGGGAGGGAAAGAAGTATGACCAGACAGAGGTGCCTAAGGACGCCAGTGGGAGAAAAGCTGGACCAAGGATGGAGGAGACGATGGCCTACATGACATGACCCCCTTTTTCTAGAAAGCGAGATGGTCACTTTTGAGATGCTTCAACCAACTTCAGTGATAAGGTAAGGTTTTCTGAATTAGTTTAACATAAGTAATATTTACAACACGTTTAAGTTAAAACCTTTTCTACTCATAAATACCAATTAGCAATGTAAAAAAAAAAAAAAAAAAAAAAAACCCTCTATTCAAATTCATGAATGTCTTCTAAGG